CCCATGCAGCCAATGAAGGCCCACCTGACGGCAATCCCTGAATGCTCTGGAGAGAAGATATTGGGCTATAGCTCCTAGACTGCACTGGATCCAACTTACTCCATTTCAACTGACACTCCGATCAGAGCTTCAAGTGCTGACTTCAATCAAGTTGAGGATTTCAACTTAGATCTTCAATCAAGCAAATCCCATCTAACAAGGACTGGATACAATCCGTTAGAAACTTTCACTATACTAACATTTTCTTCCCACAGGACCCCACAAGGCTACCATCATCCCATTTCAGCAGGAAGTAACTTGGAGGATGCTATGCCCCATCCCACATTATTGTCTATTAGGGTACTGTAAGCCTAGTTATGAATGACTTTCCTATTGTTTAGGGTTGGGATTGGAAGGAGGTGTTCAGGTTTGGACACCTATTTCAGATGGCTTTAGGGTTTAGTTCAAATGGACATAGTTAGGATGTAACATAAGCAGATTGTTCTATCTTCTTATATTTCACCTTTATGATTGTTAATTTTGGATACTTTACACTGTTAAGTTTTAATCCTCTTTTAGACTAAAAGGGGAATTGTAGGGAGAAACCGTAACCATGCCTCCTAAGGGCTGGCTACAGGTGTGCCTGACCATGCCTGTCAAGGTGTTGTCTAGGTGAGGTCAGGATGATGTGGGCTAGGTTCTTAAGCAGTGGTGAGCACATAGTAGGCCCCTTCGCTCTGGCCTCCCTGCCTTGCTGCTCCTCACACGCTCTGGCTTGTGTTTGGCTGGTGTTTATCTGAATAAAAATATCTTGACCATATGCACTATGGATCATCTTCGTTATCGTTATAACCACCCTCCATGCCCTGAGAAAAATCCTCTCTGTGCCTGAGTGTGGACAGCCAGACTCACAGCAAACCTGGGAGCACAGCAACCCCAGCAGAGAGCACAGCAGCCTCTTCATGGTGCTTGTCTGGATGTTGGAGACAGAAACAAGTAACCATGCCCTGGGCTGTGGTGTCAGGATGGTTGTTGAATGTCCCTCCTCTTGCACTAGGCAGCTCCACCCAGGACCCCTGCCAGGCCAGAAAGTGCAGAGTTCCCTCCCAGATTTCTGAGCCTGAAGCTCCTCCCAACCAGACCAGGCTGAGAGTCTAGGTAGATCACAGTGTGGTGGGGGCATTTTGAGATTACTCTGGGGTTGTATGCAGTTATGGATTCTGAAAGCAGGGTGGGAAGCAGCCCCTCCCAATGAGAACAGGCTTCTGTCCCACACAGAGCCTGTCTTACTCAGGGAAGCAACAGCTAAAGTTTTAACTCAAGAATCAGGAGATTGTTGTGACTAAACCTTACTGGGGCCTGATGGATGGCTCAGCAGATAATGGTCCTTGTCTTTTCAAGAGGCCTTAGCTCCCTCCCCAGCATCCACACCAAGTGACTCACAGCTGCCTGTACCTCCAGCTCCTGGGGACCTGAATCTCTCTTCTGTCCTCCTCAGAACCTGTACCAAATTGTCAGACATTTGCATCAACTGTCATACACTTAATAAAAAAGAAAAGAAAAGAAAAGAAAAGAAAAGAAAAGAAAAGAAAAGAAAAGACAATGTTAACCTGTGAAGTAATTTAAGGGAAATCACTGCATCACTGTATGAGAAGAAGACACAGAAACATAATGATATAGTAAATATAAATGCAATGGCTTTATTGTTTTGGAATGCATATTAAAGCTGGGATTCTCCTGTATCAATCAAGGATTGTTCTGAATGTTGTTTAAAAACATGACCTCATAAGAAGGAAGTGGATCAGGGAAAGCTAACGGAGTTCTGCACTTCTGAGTGACAGGGCAGCAGTGATGGTGTGCTACTGCACATGGTGCCTGCAGGGAACAAGGAGCTGTGCGTCCTAACAGCAGTGGAATGCATTTTAAAGGTTTTACTGTGAAGTTGGCTGCTTGAGAAATGAAACTAGTAACGGAAAATAAACAGTCTACTCACAGTCTACCTTACAACATCTCCACCCGCCACTTTCTAAACACCAGCAAGTAATGTCCTACAACCCTGTAGTATATTTTTGGTGAAATCTTGAATGAGGTTTAAAAAAATGCTGCCCCAGAACGCTGTGCTGTTTCACTGGGAACAGAGACCCTCCCTTGGGGTGAGCTCCCCCACACAGCACTGATGCTGCAGGAGCATGAAGAACCCAGGTGGTGCCCAGCCTGTGCATCTGCAGCAGTGCTCTGGAGCTGAGGAGAAGCTACTCATCTCCTGTCCCTCAGGGTCAAAATTCTACTGAAGGATAAATCAGACCTTTTCTTTGTAAAACTGAAAACAAATAAGTGAAGCACTTTCTGGGATTCCACTTTCTCTGCAGGGTTCTCTTCACTGAACATGCCTGGTCTCTTACTCCAGTCTCAGATGGCTGGTGTCCAGCTCTGGACTTGCAACTAGGGGCAGAGGAGCACCCAGCTCCCTCAGTCCAGCTGTCAGCAGATCCTCAGTTGGAAGGTGATCTCATCCTTCCCACACACAGTCTGAAAGCCCTCCATGCCTGAGACAGGCTGGCATCCTGCTGTGAGATTCAGGAGGCTCTGAAGCCCAGGTTGGAAAGGATCCTGAGGGACAGTCTTCACTTTGATGAACTCAGGGTCAAACATATATCAAACTAATGAGAGTCTTAGTTACTGTGCAGTCCCTTTGTCATTCTTATAAAACACAACAGAATTCAGAATTTTCACCTGTGGCATTCTAGGTGATTGCCACAGGAAAAGACTGTACCATACGTAAACAACAGGGGACAGGAGCTAAGAGTGTTGCTTTCCAATTCCATTACCAGATCTTCTCCTCCTCTCTCCGTGTGTGTGTGTGTGTGTGTGTGTGTGTGTGTGTGTATGTGTGTGTCTGTATTTGTCACTCTGTCTCTCAGAAGGTAAGGCCTTGTCAGTGGGGGTGTGTCACTGGTGGTGGGCTTTGGAATCTCAAAGCACAGGTCAGGCTGGCCCAGCCTCTCATTCTCTTTGCCTCTTGTTGGTGATCAGAGGTAAGCTTTTAGCTACTGCTCCAGTGACATGGCTGACTGCCTGCTACTATGCTTGTCACCATGATTATTGTGGCTCACCCACTAAAACTGTAATCAACCCCCAATTAAATGCTTTCTTCTTTAAGTTGTCTTAGTCATGGTGTCTCTTCACAGCAATAGAACAGAAACTGAGACTGGAAGTTATGCTGAATTCTCCATAGCATGGACCAAGGAGAGAAAGAATCTAAATAAATTCTGGATGCCAAAGCATATTTTTAAAAACTAGAGTCTATGTTCCTCACTTGGTCTTAAATTGGTGAGCTAATGACAGAAGATTGATGGAGAATTTAAACCATTAATTTCTGTAGGACATCTTGGCAGAGATAAATACCATGTTAGGGTTTTCCTGGAGGTGTTTTCTGTGAGAGGTCCTACGCTTAGGGAGAGAACAGTAGTTCTGGGGATCAAGGCCTTGGTGGTCTCTTGCAATGACTTCCATCCTGTCCTACCAAAATATGCACAATTTCCTAGGTTTCTAAGAATGTGCACTGAGATTTGGTGTTGTTTTTCAGAATGCTGTGTAAACCCCACTGAGAGAAGGCCCACAGGCCTCCCTCACAGGGCCACTCCCCTCAGCCCTCCTGCACCTTGGTTTGTGTGCAGCTTCCCCTGCATCTCCCTCACTGTGTCACTCAGAGCACAGTAGTACAGGGCAGAGTCTGACAGCTGCACTGAGGATTTCTCCAGGTGGAAGGAGCTGTTGCTCTTATGGAGAGAGGCGTGGAATCCTTGGTGCTCTGTCTTCTTGTCTGTGGAGCTCCTCAGGAGCATCTGAGGGGCTTTGTTGAGATATTGCACGTACCAGAAAAGGAATGAACCTGAGTAAGTAGCCTGATAGGTGCAGCTCAGCATCATAGGTGACCCCTCTGTGATAGTAACCTGGCCTTCTGTCTGGGTCACTGAGTCTGCCTTGCTCCTCCCTGAAAATAAAAAAATAAAATAAAATAAATAAATAAGGAGAAATCACGTTGCTATGTGAGGAAGAAGGTAAAGGCTCCCATGGCTGTGAGAAGATGATGTCATCAACACTTAGGTAAATGTAACTCACCAAGCATCAAGAGGAGCAGCAGAACTGGGCAGGTGTCAGGAAGCATGTTCACAGAAGACAATGACACTTGGTTCTTGAGTTCACCAAACTCACAGGACAAGTCTCCTCAGGACTTTCCTGAAACTCCTCACTCATGAACAAGGACCTCCTTCTGCACAGTGACAGTCTGTCATGTGAAGCCACTACCTGATGAGACTTTAACCACATCTGAAGAGGCAGCGCCCTCTGCTGATTTCCCTTCAAACAACACCACAGATGTCTGCTCAACACACTGAATAAACTTGAAGCTTCACCAAAAGAGGCAGGTCTCATGTCCACAGTGGATGTTTGCAATCATAAATGCTACTGAACTGTATGTATCCTATCATATTTTATCTGAAAAATATTCACAAAATAATATATATTATCTTAATATTATATTTTAATTGCATGAATGCACACACACTTCTGATAAAAATGTATCTACTTAATCTCATTTTCTTAAGGAAAGTTATGCAATGAATTTTGATTATATCATCAGCATCCTATACACCTGCCAGATCCATCCACTCTTCCCTACAAACCGGTCCCTCAAACTTTAAAATAAACACTTAAAGATTGCATTACAGTTTGTAGCAGCCATATATCCTGGGTGTGAAGCCTTCAGCCGAGGGTGGTATATGTACCCAGGACTGCACCATTGAAGAAATCTAAATCTCTTTCCCAGCAGCTACCAACTGTGCACAGCTCCTCAGCTAATGGTGGGAATGTCCACCTTCCCCCTGCTTGCTGGAGTTGGTTCTGGCCTGATCCTTTGCAAGTCTGATGCGTGCTGTTGATGTCTGTGAGTTCGTGTGAGCAGCTTCTCCACTGTGTCCAGAAAACACTGTCTCCTTGTAGCCATTCCACACCTATGGCTCCTACATCCTTTCCACGACTGCTTCCTCAGTGACCTCTGACCTGTGGAGGAGTTGTCCAACCAGGGCTGAATGTTCTGCTTTCTCTTCATCTCTGCAGCACAGTGTATTCTGGTTCTCTATGACAATCACCATGTGCTGCAACCAGGGAAATGGAATGAAAATTTTTTCAACTTTTAGAATAATTTTTAAAAACTAAGGCAAGAGAAAACTGTTCAAAATTGTTTTGAGTCACTCGAAGCTAACTTTCTTATTTTGTGTTTTTAATGTCTACGCTATAGTTGGCACTTCTCAACTACCAACTGACAAATTCTGCACTGGAAGGCCTGTGACACAGGATGTGGATGGGGCTCTAGGCCCTGCGGCAGGTTTGAGGACAGGCTGCAGGTGTCTGGGGAGCAGTGTGCACTTGCAGCACAGAAGTACATGGCAGAGTCCCCAGGCTGGGTGTCTGTGATGTGCAGGGAGAAGTGTTTGGCTTTCTTATCCAGTAAAACTATCAGTCTTTGGTCCTGCTTTCTTTCCTCATTTGAACGAATGTCAATAATGAGCTTAGGATGCTCTCCAGGTCCTTGCTTATACCAAAGGAAGTAGTATGAGGTACTGTCTGTGTAAGTGCAGTTGATGACAGCGCTGTCTCCCTCCTGGACTCTCAGGGTGGAAGGAAGCTGCTCCACCTGTTCACCTTGGCTCAGCCCTATGCAGAGAGATGGGAAGAAAGGAGAAAAGTTGTCAGGCCATCACTATCCAGGATTCTCTTTTACTACAGTCACTAGAGAAAAGCTGAATAAAATAGAGTTCGTCCTGGATATCTCTGAAATACCCATGGACTATTCTGTGGTCCTAAAACCTTAACTCACCATCCAGCTGCAGCCATAGAAACATGAATAAAGTGGGACCATATGTCTTCATTGTTCTTCTAATTCAATTAAGATCCAGTGTAGATCGTATTGACCAGCAGATCAGCTACAGATACCAGGGTGTTATTCTTTCTCAGTAACAATGCTACCTCTAGAGTCATCTACTCAGCACTGAGAAAAAGGCTGTGTTTCTGCCCTGAGCCTGCACAGTCAGCATACAAGGAAGAGACTCCTCTGCACACTCCCCAGCAGTTGAGGTCTATTGCCACCTTGTGGTTGCATCGCTAACCAGTGAGGACTCAGACACATAAAACAGCAATGTGTCCAATGTGTTGTATTAACTGGATTTTAGTGCTGAGAGATCAAGAATTGTATTTTTACACACTAAGAGGCTGTTTCTTATCTTTAAATCTACAATAGTTTATGTATAATACTTCATATACAAATGTATATACATGATGTTTCCATGTATAAATGTGTATGTGCGATGTATTCATATGTGTGTGTGTATGTGATTGAGAGAGACATTTCTTATGTCTGCAACTGTATTTACTAATGCACTCCCTTATCCCAGAATGCTCAGGTCATTCATCAAGCAACTCCTCCTTTTCTCAGAGACAGATGATTAAGCCAATATTTGTCCTTGAGAGCTATGGCACTCAGGACAATACTTTGTCTGTGACATATTTGTAGGTGTGTGGACTTATGTTTGGGGCTTCAATTCTTTTCCATTGTCTAGCATGTCTGTTTTTGCTGCTAATACCATGATTTGTATCTGACTATAATTATGTAGTATAACTTGAATTATTGGTGAGGACATTTCAAGTAGTTATTTCATTATTCCCGGTTGTTTGAGCTAGTCTGAGTTTTTTGTGTGCTTCCATATGAAGCAGAAAATTGTTTTCTTTTTTTCTATTTCTGTGAATAATTATGTTGGTATTTTGACAGAGATTGCATTGATACTGTCAATTACTTTTGGTAAGATGGCCGATTTGCCTAAATTATTTCAAGCAATCCATGAGCATGTTAAATATTGTCATTATATGATGGCTTCTGTTCCTTTCTTCCCTGTTTTAAAATTGTTTATATGTAATGTCGCTACTTTCATGATTAGAGTTTATGTCAGATATTTTATTATTTTTAAGGTTTTTCTCAACTGTAAACACATACAAATACTGTCTATCTGGGAAACCAGTGTGATCACACACTGGAAAACACATAGGTCACCTTCACTGTTCTTCCTGTCCTTCATTCCAGTTCCCCTAGTACTGTCCCTAACCCTGTGGCAGACCACTTGCTTCTCCTCTCCCTCTTCATCCATTCACTGAGGACTCAGCCATATTTGGTGGATATACACCACATACTACCTACACACACGTCAGACACACACACATCAGACACACACACACCACCACCACTACACACCTAGTGCCCACAGGAATATATATAGGTAACCAAATGATTGCAGAATATGAACTAGGTGTCCTCAGAGAAGCTAGGAAACATTACAGTTGTAACAGCATCCCTCAGAGATGCATCAGTGTAGAAACTACCCAGATTCCCCTCATTCAATGAGTGAAAAGGCACAATGGGGTTGAGTCCTTCCATGGAATATTGTTCAGCATGAAATGATACATGAAATTGTTTCTCTCTGACTTAGTCAGCCTTTTCTTACTCACACAAATCTCTGACCCAATCACCTTACAGGGAAGAACTGTTGTTCTTGACTCCTGGTTGTGGAGATTTTCTAGTTTCCTGAGCTTATTTCTTTTGGGCATGAAGTGGAGCAACCTGTGCTTACAAGAGCTCCTTTTGGAGGAATTTGCCCACCGTGGGAGCAACTGGGAAGCAGTGAACAAGACCACTGGGCTGTGCCATCACCATCCTACACTGCACAGGTTGGGGATCTTCTTAAGCAGGGTTGCCTAACAGGCCAGGGCCCCAGAGGTCCTCCTGTCTGTGCATTAGGTTTACAAGATAGACACTTCAATGACTGAGCTGCCTATCTCTCATGCCCACCGTGTTCTACCTTCCAACAAAAGTTTACCTTACTCTCAATAGTATCCTTGGTGAGTGCTCCTTACATCAGCATTAACAGGTAAGCTAAACATGTTACTGCACTACAGTGTGCTTGTATGTGTGCATACATGTATTTGTGTGTGCTCATGAGTTTATGTGTGTGCATGTGGGTGAACAACCCTCCACTGAGAACATGATCATCTAATGAACAGGAAGAAGAGAGCCTGGATGAAAGACCAAAGAACCTGGAGAAGCAGACGGATCTGAACACCTGGCACAGACACTTGGCAGAAAAGATGGAGAATAGCTTCACTGTCTTAGAGATGAGGTCAGAGCCCAAGCCAGGAGGAGCCCTTAGAATCATGTAGGTCACCAGTACCTGGATCTCTGTCCCTTTGGGATTCTGGCCATCAGGATAGCTCTCCGCCCCAGGGAGGGAAAGAACACAGTCAGGGTATTGCGCTGGCCCAGTCAACATGATACTCTCCCCTATTCCTTTCTGAACTCTCTGCTCTCTTCTCAGCACCTTGTACCCCGTGTCTCCCCACAAACCTCCCCATGATCTTCCCAAACCTACCAGGGGAAAGTTAGTTGTGGAGGACAGTGTGTGCTCCTGACACTTTATTTCCTCCCAGAACATCACCATTAGAGAGAAGTTCCTACCTTTGTGCAGATCTCATGCTGCTCACTCTTTGTAGTGTGTATCCTTTCCTGTCAAAAGATTTTTCTGGTTATAAGAACATTAAGGGGTTGGGAGTTGAACCCAGGTACATTTCGGTGCTGTAGGAATAATTATAAACTTCAATGCTTTTGTTTTATACACTCTCTAGAGGGTCTACATTAAGTTTCTGAGGTTGCTCACATTCACCTGGTGTCCAATCTCATCCATGCATATCTGTCCTGAACTGTTACTCACATATTACTATTCTGTTACTTTATTTCCAAAAGAATGCATCTAGACAACTGGAGAAATGGGCTGTATTTTCGGGGCTAGCGGAGGATGGTTTTCAGATAATCTACTTGCAAATTTTAAAAGCTGGGAAAAAAACAAAATAAAATAAAACAAAAACAAAAGCAAAACAAAAAAACAGGCCCAGGAGCACTCTGACCCTTCTCCCTTGGGGAAAGCAGGGAATGCCCTCAGCTGAAATCTCATGCTGGGTGTCAAGATGAACAGAGCTGGTTCAGACTAAATAGCTGACACAGCAGGTCCCCCAACAGATCTATTCCCTAACTGCCTTCCTGCTGGATGTCAAAAAATCTCCAATCTGAGTTGGAACCAGCCCCAGCCCAGGATAAGAGCCTCCTGCAGACAGAGCTGCTACAGCGGGAGCACTAAATCTCACAGGCAAGTGAGCCACCATTGCCTCCCATCCACAGGAAGCATAGCATTGATGGGGAAGTAGGGACTCATGACCTTGGTTTCTAGTGTGGATGGGCCCTGATTATTATTTTAGTCTGTGGCCCACCCAGGCTGCTTCTGGGTCCAATTGCATTTCCTTCTCAAAGGAGATCTTAAGAGAACTGAGGAGGCCAAAGAAGCCACAGACATCTTGATCCCATACATTCTAGGATCAAGGCATCCTCTTCTGAAGAAGACTCCCTGTAATAACTATGAATTCACCAGTGAGGCAAATACCAGTGATCTCCAGGTGATCTAGCCCCAATCAAACACATGGGTCTGTTGTCTCAGTACCCCCAAAGGGAAAAAAGCATTGAAAATGAGATTGAGATACAGAATATCTGAGAAAAGAATTACTGAGAACCCAGACATTCAACAGACTGTGAGGGGTACAACAACAAGAAGTGTAGACATGTTGGTGAGAAAACTTTTTCTGCCAGTTTAATGTCGATGGCTTTGGCAACCTCACTAAGTCTTTGGCCCTTCCTAGTGATGGGAAATCTGTCAGAGAGGACTGTGTTGATGTGAAGGTGTTCCAGACCAATCACACCCAAAACCATCATATTTCATTCTCTAGTCCAGTGTTGAAGTCCATGTCATGCACAAGTGTCACAGAAGAGAAGGCACTAGAAAGATGACTGCAGACCCTCATTCCTCTTTTCCCTCCATATGTAAAATGAAAGAGGATTCCTCAGTTTCACAGCCTGGACTGAATTCAGGGCCTGGTCCTGAGAAAGGATTTACAGAAGACATCTGAGTTGTCTTTGATGTCCTTGGGCATTCAGATGCTGCCCACAGATTTGTTGGGTCTCTAGTCAGCACACAAATCTATGTTGGCTAAAAGAATCAAATAGTGGCCAGGACTTTACAGGATTGGCAGTGAGTGATAATTTATCCAAAGCTCTCCCTAGGGCTACAAATAGTGCTCTAAGAACAAGTCTCAATCTTAGTCTTTCTTAGGGCTTGACCTACAGAGCCCAAAGGAGGAATGGCTATACAAGATTTGAAAAGCCTTTTTGTAATTGACAACTGCCTGCCTACCATGTTTCCAAGGCCAGCCAAAGGCTGTAGGTCTGTACTGCTAAATCTGCAGCAACAGAATTCTGCTTGGCTTAATATTTTTTTGTTTGCTTCTTTGATTGGGTTTGTTTGCTTTGGTTTTCTGTTGCTACTATTGTTTGACATTTTGTATTTATTTGTTCTTTCTTATATTGTTATATATTTTTAGGGTTATTCACTGTTTAAATTGGCTGCTCCCTTTAAACCCCTATTTAGTAATATGACTGTATTTTTATGAATAACAACTGATTTCCAACTCTTCTCTTTGAGAACCAGTTTCTTTGTTCAGATGTGGTGTCTCACTCCAGTAGCCCCAGAACTCTTGTATGTACAGTTTCAGTTATGTTGTGAGTTCCCAGCCACCCAAGGCTACCCAGGGCCTTGGATCTGGATGGTTTGCCAACTCTGTGATACCCATGGCATAATAGGAAAAGTATCCATACTGTATACTTGTGATCATATATTTATCTATTCCTATAGTATAGCATCCCTATACGCATTTCATGAAATGGCCATGTGCACCAATTTAATGAGAAACACGCATGTATTGTTCTAAAATCTCTTAGGAAATG